TCTTAACAGTATTTTACAGGGGATGCTTGTCAGTGATACAGGTCTATAGTTAAGTGCCTCCTCCCTATCACCTTTCTTGGAAATCGGTACAACATTTGCCTTCTTCCAGCAACTGGGCAATTCTCCCGACATAAGTGACTCATTAAAGATCATTGCCAGAGACACGCTGAGGGCCTGCGCTGCTTCTTTTAGTATCCACGGTATATTTAAGTATTTGTGTGTGTGTGTACTCACCTAATTGTACTAGCCTAATTGTGCTTGCGGGGGTTGAGCTCTGGCTCTTTGGTCCCGCCTCTCAACCGTCAATCAACTGGTGTACAGATTCCTGAGCCTACTGGGCTCTATCATATCTACATTTGAAACTGTGTATGGAGTCAGCCTCCACCACATCACTTACTAGTGCATTCCATTTACTAACTACTGACACTGAAAAAGTTCTTTCTAATGTGTCTGTGGCTCATTTGGGTACTCGGCTTCCACCTGTGTCCCCTTGTTCGCGTCCCTAGAGTGTTGAATAGTTCATCCTTGTTTACCCGGTAGATTCCCCTGAGGATTTTGTAGGTTGTGATCATGTCCCCCCTTAATCTTGTCTTCCAGTGTCGTAAGGTGCATTTCCCGCAGCCTTTCCTCATAACTCATGCCTCTCTAATTGGGGGGGGGGGGGGGGTTGAGTGCTTACCCCAACACTGTTCAGTGTCTTGATGCATAAATTAATAACTGACATTCCCACACTTCCCGACGAAGCTGTCAGCCGTTTGACACGCTGTCACGCTGTTGACATTTACACTGCAGGAAATACTCACTCGATTCTAAACTTGACGATTCTCTTGCTGCTAAAAGGCATCAAATGCAGACTCGTTATCTCTTAACACAGTCAAGAGTGCATCCCCATACAAGAACAAATGTCCTTGTAGCTATGAAGGTTAACAAGCGCAGAACGGAAACATGTGGGCAACCAACCCGTTCTCGCACTTTCTTAGTCAATATTGACTTATTAAATACGTGCATATGTGACATACTAAACATACTAGTTTACCTTGAAAAGCTTCATAGAAAACACCGACCTTACCTAACCTTCTTAGTATGTTAAGATAAGAATCTTATTGCTTTGTAATTACAATTATTACTTAACCTATTATAGGTATAGGTTAAGTAATGTAATTACGAAGCAATAAGATGATTATTGTGATGATTAAATAAGTTGATTAAATGTGAGAACATTTCTTACATTTAAAATTAAGCCTTCTTGAACCTTCCTCACATGTACAATTAAAGTTACCAAAGCAAGCATTTTGAAGGTGTCATAGTTCACATCCATACAACCTGAGACATTGACTGTCAAGACACTTCAATTTCGACTAGTTATCAAATATGACCCGATTCACTCGTAATGACCCTTGATCTGACCTTCACATGTAATGGCATCAGAAACGTTGACAAGCGGGCCCTTTGACTATATAATATCCCTCGGATGCATTTCAGAATACTTTAATCTCTCTGCCTTGTAATTTTAATTTAAGATCTGGATAAAACGAGTCTAGAGAGTCGTAAACAACTATTGCACATTTGGCTGGATTTTATATATACTTTATGGTATATAAAGTTCTTAAGTGTTCTTACTCTCGTAAAGCCACTGGCATGCTGTGTTTCGGGCAGGTCCTTAATTTTAATTTTCCCTGTAATTCGGCCCGCCAAATAGTCTAACAACCAGGTACCCATTCACTGCTGGGTGAACAGAGGCGTTTCAGTTATGGATTGGCGCATATTAAAGCCTCCCCGGCTAGGATACGAACCCAAGCCAAATTGCTGGGGAAGCGCTGGGCGAGTGAGTTACCACTGCACCAAGGGGACGCTGGCTAGTACTCGCCTAGTTATACTCGCAGAATTATTTTGCAGAGGTGGAGCTTCGGCTGTTTGGTCCCGCCTCTCATCTGTCAATCAACATTGTCATCGGTTGAAAATGTGTTCAACATATCTTTCACTTATTTGTATCAAGTTTTGTTAGTCCTATTGGCACCCACTAAAGACTGTCTTGAGGTTATCTTGAGTTGATTTCGGGGCTTGGCGTCCCCGCGGCCCGGTCCTCGACCAGTCCTTTTTGTTACACACCCCCTGGAAGCAGCCCGTAGCAACTGTCTAACTCCCAGGAACCTATTTACTGCTAGGTGAACAGGAGCATCAGAGTGAAAAAATAATCTGCTCATTTGTTTCCACCTCCACCAGGGATCGAACCCGGAACGTGAGGACTACGAATACCGAGCGCTGTCCACTCAGCTGTCAGTCCCCAACAGAACTAGATTATAGCAGAGCTAGTCAGTTTTGGTTACTGCCCATGCGACACCCGCCTCTACTAGCTCTTAACAGGTCAAGACAAGTTCAAGTACGTTTCTTTAGACGATAAGACACATCTCACAAGGATAGAATAGCTTAGGCTATTTCTGCCCCCCTCCCCCCCCCTGCCCCAGATCACGATAACTGGTAATAAAGGATTGAAAGCAAC